CGAGGGGCCGGGACGGGCGGCGCGCGGGCGTCGAGGGGCCGGGACGGGCGGCGCGCGGGCGTCTAGGGGTCGGGCCGGGTGGCGCGCGGGCGTCTAGGGGCCGGGACGGGCGGCGCGTGGGCGTCGAGGGGCCGGGACGGGCGGCGCGCGGGCGTCTAGGGGCCGGGACGGGCGGCGCGCGGGCGTCTAGGGGCCGGGACGGGCGGCGCGCGGGCGTCTAGGGGCCGGGACGGGCGGCGCGTGGGCGTCGAGGGGCCGGGACGGGCGGCGCGCGGGCGTCGAGGGGCCGGGACGGGCGGCGCGCGGGCGTCAGGGGCCGGGACGGGCGGCGCGCGGGCGTCTAGGGGCCGGGACGGGCGGCGCGCGGGCGTCTAGGGGCCGGGCCGGGTGGCGCACGGGCGTCTAGGGGCCGGGACGGGCGGCGCGCGGGCGTCTAAGGGGCCGGGACGGGCGGCGCGCGGGCGTCTAAGGGCCGTGACGGGCGGCTAAAGGGGCCACTAGGGGCCAAGAGAGAGGGGAGCGCGACTCGGGTAGGGGCAGAGTGCGCTCCGGGCAGGAAAAAAAAACGGTGGGCCCTAGGAACAGTTCCCACGAGGGAACCTGCTCGATACCATGAGAAGAATGAAGAACGAGGATGAATGAACTATGAATGAGGTGAGTACATATAGAAAACCCTAATTGGGTTGTACCCCCTATGGGATACCCCACTATAGCCTACACAACAGCATAAGCTATATATGTTCTGACATAGGGACGGGGCCGGGCGCAGGGCTAGGGACGGGGCCGGGCGCGGGCTAGGTACGGGGCCGGGCGCGGGCTAGGTACGGGGTCGGGCGCTAGGCTAGGTACGGGGCCGGGCGTGGGCTAGGTACGGGGCCGGGCGCGGGCTAGGTACGGGGCTGGGCGCTGGGCTAGGTACGGGACCGGGCGCGGGCTAGGTACGGGGTCGGGCGCTTGGCTAGGGACGGGGTCGGGCGCGGGCTAGGTACGGGGCCGGGCGCTGGGCGCGGGCTAGGGACGGGGCCGGGCGCGGGCTAGGTACGGGGCCGGGCGCGGGCTAGGGACGGGGCCGGGTGCGGGCTAGGGACGGGGCCGGGCGCGGGCTAGGTACGGGGCCGGGCGCGGGCTATGTACGGGGCCGGGCGCGGGCTAGGGACGGGGCCGGGCGTGGGCTAGGTACGGGACGGGGCGCGGGCTAGGTACGGGGCCGGGCGCGGGCTAGGTACGGGGCCGGGCGCGGGCTAGGGACGGGGCCGGGCGCGGGCTAGGTACGGGGCCGGGCGCTGGGCTAGGGACGGGGCCGGGCGCAGGCTAGGTACGGGGCCGGGCGCGGGCTAGGTACGGGGCCGGGCGCTGGGCTAGGGACGAGGCCGGGCGCAGGGCTAAGGGCCGACAGAGCCGGGCGCGGGCTAGGGACGGGGCCGGGCGCGGGGCTAGGGGCCGACGGGGCCGGGCGCGGGCTAGGGACAGGGCCGGGCGCGCGTAGGCTAGGGTCGACGGGCGCGTAGGCTAGGGTCGACGTGCCTAGGTGGGGTACTAGCAGCGTAGCAGGTGGTGGGCCCAAGGAACCTGCTCTGATTCCATGTCAAAATAACGAACGAGAATGGATGAACTAACAAAGTGTTGGGTACAAATACTAACCCTAATTGGGTTGTACCCCTTATGGGCTACCCCACTACAGCCTACACAAATGTACGGTATAAGCTATAATGTTCTGACACAAATGGTGTTTTCACGTGTTTGATAAAACGTTTCACGGAATCAGTCGCAATCAACTGGGAAAAAAAAGCGCGAATGGTCACAGATGAAACTCCCGCCCAAAAAATATAATACCAAAAACGAACCTGGATGCATTTTCGGATGAATCATCCCTAAACACAACTCGCCAGGTGTTTAGGGTTGATTCGTTCCCAAACCACATCCGATTCCAATTGGGTTTTTGTATTTTTAGAAATTAGTTGATTGATTGGGCGCGAGCGGAAATTGTGTAGAGTTTCAAGAAATTTTGGCGGTAGTTACATGAGTGATCATTCGCGTGATTTTTCACCTGTTGTTAGTGATTGAATCCGTGACCCCACTTACCAAACCCGTCAGCAAACCCGATACAGTGACCATACGCGTTACTTTTTCACCATTCACGTTATCGAGTCCCATGTTATGTTGGTCACTTGAAAGAGCCAGTTCGCGCTTTCGGGTTACCACCGTTCACAATTTTTCTCATCCACATTTCCATGGTTGGAGTGGAGAGACTCCTTAGATACATGCACACATCCTCTACAGTCTCTGGTACAGAAAATTCTCGGGAAAATATGCCGTTCGTAACCATCATGGGACTCGAAAACATTTTTGGTAAAAAAATAAACGGTACGGTCACTGCAAAGGGTGTTTTCACGCGACTGATAAAGCGTTTCACGGAATCAGTCACAATCAGCTGGTAAAAATTAACGCGAATGGTCACAGATGAAACTCCCGCCAAAACAAAACGGATGATCAACCCTAAACACGTAACTCGCCAGGTGTTTAGGGTTGATCCGTTCCCAAACCGCATCCGATTCCGATTGGGTTTTAGTTTTTTTACAAGTTCGCAGATTGGTTGGGCGCGAGCGGGAATTTTGTTGAGTTTCAAGTTTTTTTTGCGGGAGTTACATGTGTGACCATTCGCGTGATTTTTTACCTGTTGTTAGTGACTGAATCCGTGACCCCGCTTACCAAACCCGTCAGAAAACCCGATACAGTGACCGTACGCGTTTTTTTTTTACCATTCACGTTATCGAGTTCCAAGTTGGTTACTTGTGGCATATTTTCCCAAAATTCTCTCCCTTTGAATCAGGCGTAACCCGCATCCTTGCTTCTTGAGAAAGCAGTTCATTTTCGATCAGAAGGTGCCCCTCGGAAACATCTTCAAAATGGGTTCTACACGGTTCGGTTTGAATTCGCGTTAAATCAGTGCGGTAGAAAACGCTTTTGTTTAAAACAGTACAGAAATTGAGAAAGCTTGCTTTCTGATTATTGCAAGGCAACGTGCTTCATTTTAATTGGGTAATTACAACATTCTCGTCCAACTCACACATTACATAAACATCAACTAGGGGTGGGCGGGGGGGAAGCGGAACTGAAAAGTTCCGAAATGAAGACGTGGGTGGAGGCCAAATGGCCTCCAACCCTCGTTATGTACTCGGGAAGAGGCATTCGCAGTTGCCTTGCTTCACTACGATCAGCTGCGCTTTCACAATCTTTATTTTTAGAAAGTGTTTCACACTTTCAAAAAATTTCATTTCTTGTTCGCAGATGCAGAGCCAGACATGCACCGCCGAGTTCAGTAAAGATCCATCTCCATCTCCATCTCCTGTCTCCTCATCCACTCCACACACACCCCTCTAGCCTTCCCTCCACCGATTTTGCCTCTTCAAACCTCCTGCTCTGCTGGCAGCCATTGACCTCTAGGGTTTGGATTATAGACCCGTATTGCGGTTCGTCCAAGCACAGCCTTGCTTCGCGGTCAGGGCTGTGTCACCGGGGCTGATTTATCACGGTAGGTCCTACATTGTCGGCTATGTTTTAACCCAGCATTGGCTTCAACTAAAAGGCTCGATGGTTGCGTTGTAGAAGCAGTTGTTGCTGGTGCCAGCGGAAAGGTTTCTGTCTTCCGTTGCTGAATGTGCTGCTGCCTCCAGATAAGCCACAATGGAGGCGGACCTAACGAATATGATCGACATCGAGATACGGTGCGCCGGCAATGTGTTGGGAACGGTGGTGATAGATAAAGAATGGTCGCTTTCCGCTGTGCGGACGGAGATCTTTGCCGTTTTTCCAGGAACGGCTCCGGAAGAGTTCGAGTTTTGGATCCACGGTCCAGGTGAGGAGCCGAAGAAAATATCGCATCGTCGGGAACCGCATATTTCAGCTGCAGATTTCATGCCTCCTAAAGAATTGGAGATAAGAGCTTTGGACGACTGAGGGTTATCTGCTGGTCGATATTTACACGTGCGCTCGCTTGTAGGGGAATTTTAGCTGGGGTTTTATTCTTCCAAGTCGCCTCAAGCGATGTGAGTCCACATTAGCATAGGAGGCGAGTTAATGCCGTTCGCGTCTTAGTAAATTTTTATGATTTTAGTACTCTTGACTTCAATAGTTTTCTGGTGGTTTTTGCCATAGGCTACTGGTATCTAAATACCCATTGCATAATATTCGTTATCTCTCAACTCAATGAGCACTGCCAAGTGCTATCTGATAAGCTACAACTGTAGGTGATGCTTAGCTACAGTAATTGTGGTGGTTCTTTGTTCATCAGCTACAGAGGACTGGGCATGCTGCACATTTAGAAGAATGATATTGATAAGCAACTGAATGCTTGTGCACTGCATCTTCACATCCATTGCAATGTTGCAATCCAAAACGAGCTGCACATGGAGAAGATTAGTGTTGCAGATGTATGCAGTAGGAGCTTCTGTATGTAATGCAGGGCTCACTTTATCAGAAATTTTTGGTCTGAATTTCTGGATTCTGAACACATTTTTACTGGTTCATCTGATGCCGTAGACATGCTGTTTAATTTCGTCTGATTTTTTAAAAGAAGCTTTTTCTATTCATCTGATTTCTCAGACAGCCTTATACAGTTCGTCTGAGATTGCAGATATCGAGTATTTTTCGACTGAAGGCAAAACTCTCGAAACAAGCAGACTATAAGATTCGAACTGTAAACCTCAATTTTCACTGCTCCATATTCTACTGACTGGACCATTAGAGCTGGTCATCGATATTACTTGGTTTTTTGAATCATATTTGAGAGTACATTGCTTGCTAGCTTTATATCTTCTCAGACAAGTATTTAGGATTCGTCTGGAAAGCTAGACAAGGTTACAGTTTTCGTCTGACAATCAGACAAGGAGCCAGGACCCGGTCTTGACATCAGACGGGTCATTTTACTAAAGTTAGCCCTGATGTAATGAGGAAAACCCATCACATTAGGGAGGCAGGCTGAGTTGTGAGGATGGAAAGCACTACATGTCTGCCATTAGGATGCAGCAAATGAGACGCCCTGTTTCAAGATGACTGCACATACCGAACCAAAAAGCGGGCACCACAGGAATACAAGGTGACATTGTGAGGGAATAGTGTTGCTAACTTGCTACCTAACTAACCAGCACTACGATTTATCAGACTGGACATTTTTCTTGGAGCTAAAACTGAGCTTGTGCATCTTTCCTGGAGCGGAAACTGGGCCACATAGGCTTCATGTTAGCAAGCCCACCCCACCGCTTGCTCCCACTACCCGAATCCACACTTCCACCTCCCCCACCAATGTCACCACCACCACCACCACCACCAAAAGCGCCAAAACCACCAGCGTATGAACGCCTCCAGTTCCGAGAACTTTCAGAATTTCTTTTGTCTGGGGTTGCGAAGGAGCGCCGCCGACCTATGGCTGCTAAAGACAGCCTGTGCTCGAATGCCACGTGAGGAGTGCTTTCAGCAGCGGTAACAGCTGCACTGGCGGCTGCAGCAGGAGCGGCAGCAACAGCAGCAGAAGGAGCAGCAGTGGGAGCAGCAGCAGGAGCAGCAGCAGGAGAAGGAGAAGCAGAAGCTGCAGTGTTCTCACCGCCGACCTCCAAATCTGCCACCTCAGTGGTTGTCACGCCTTCAACTGCAGAGCTGCTTTTGAACATCGTCCGAGGCGACTCCACAGGTTCGGTCGCAGTGCTGCTTCGGAAGATGTTCCATGCGCCGCGCAGTATCGGCGAGAGAGGCTTGGAGAAGGTCCGGCGAAATTTGGAAGCGTCCTTGGCAGTGGATCCCTGTGAACTGGCTGCCTCAGTGCCAGATGCACTCCTTTCCACACCCCCCACACCCCCCACACCTGGAGATCCACCCAGTAAATCACTGACACCAAAATCAGTAGCAGAAGGGGCAGCCACAGCAGCAGCATCTGTGGCTGGTTTTCTCACTGGTCCCTCAGCTCCTGCTGAGCTGGCAGCTGTCCCCGCTGAGCTGGAATGTGCAGAAAGCTCGGGTATGCTGATCTCATTCTCAAAGACGATAGGGCGTGTAGAGAAGCCTGCAGCACCTCCTGCTAAGCCTCCTGCCAAGCCTCCTGCCAAGCCTCCTGCCAAGCCTACTGTGGGAATCGCAGCTGAAACCGTGTCTCCTGATGCTACTGCTGACACCATCGGTCCTGCCAGTGCCGCTTGACCCCAAGCTGGTGCCACAGTTAGTGCCGAGGGGTGGCAGCGCGGGAGAGAGGAAGAGGGGGACGGGGACAGGAAGGAGGAGAGAGGAGTGACAGAACTAGCAGCATTGGAAGGAGAGCAGGTGGGACCACCAGGAGGGCCTAGGGGGGCTAGACCTTGGCCCTGTGAGTGAGGAAAACCGTGCTGCTGCTGCTGCTGCTGCTGCTGCTGGTGTTGCTGCTGATGATGCTGCTGCTGCTGCTGATGCTGCTGCTGCTGCTGCTGATGCTGCTGCTGCTGCTGCTGCTGTTGTTGATGCTGCTGGTAGTGTTGATGCTGCTGCATCTGTTGCAATCCCCCACCTGCCCAAACCCCCCCTGCGTTCCCTGCCCCCGCGGCCGCCCCTCCTGCTCCCCCACCACCACCAGCTGCCGCAGCAGAGACAGCAAGAGACGGCGGCGACAACTGCAGCAGCTGCAGACGTTGTGCTGAAGGTCTCCCAGCATGCAAGTTCACACCCATCCTCATGCCCATTCCCACCCCCCCAACCAATGCCCCACTCATCACCACACTCTTAGAAAACCCATCCCCTGCCGCTCGGGAAAACGCCCGAGACCTGGTAGAGACCACAGGGCTGCCCAAGCCATACATGAGGCCCGAATTGGAGGGAGGAAAGTCGCACCAGAGGTCCTCATCCTCACTCCCTACTGAATCAGCCTCCCCACTCCCACTCCCGCTGCTACACCTACCAACTCTACCATCCCCTCCCCTGCTGCCGTTACAGGCGCCACCACCACCACCGCCACTGCCACCGCCACCGCCACCGCCACCGCCACCGCCACCGCCACCGCCACCGCCACCGCCACCGCCGAGGGAATATGCTGAACCGCTAGTTCTGTTCTCCCCCACGGACGAATCTCCACAGTCCGTTTCTCTCCGGAACAGCAGATCCTCGCCGACCGATCTGCTCCGCCGCCGCCTCACCTGTGGCGGCTGACCTCTTGCCCGCCTCCTCCCCACCAGCGCCTCACCCAAATCCCCATCCTCCACATCCCTTAGCGCGTCAGAAACTTCACTCATAAGGCTCTCCCTCGCACTTAGCGCCTTCTTACCGGTACTTATACTCATCCCCACTGCTGCCCCCAACCCATCCGCATCCCTATCCGAATCCCTGCCCCCTCCTGCTGCCTCCTCGCCTGCCTGCGTGTCTGCCAGCGCAGGATTCGTTACAAGCCGCTTCGTTAGAAGGTACGCGTTCGGTGCGTCTGGATAGAGGTCCATACGCGGTTTAGGCAGGAGCTTGCCCCGAACAACCCACACTAGGTACTCTAAATGCGGCCCCAGTAGCTCCTGGTATAGGGCGGCGGAGTGGCAGGATGATCTCGACCGTTGGATGGGCCTAAGGAACGGCTGAGATGCAAAATTGGGTTCCACGGCCTGTTCCCTTGCCTGCTGACTGTCACTGAATTTTCGGCTCTCGTGCTGCTCCTCCGTGATTGGTTCGGTCGTAACGGCTGCACTAACTGCTGCATCTGCAACTCCTACACTTGTAGCAGCTACGCTGGTAACCGCTGCTGCATCTGTAACATCTACACTCATGGCAGATGCACTGGCAATGGCTACAGTGCTAACTGTTTCACTTGCAACTGCTGCACTGGTAACTGCTGCACTGGTAACTGCTGTACTGGTAACATCCACACCGGTGCCTGGCGCTCCTGCAGTGGAAATCTCAGCTCGGTCCAGCATCACCTCTTGTGCCTCGGCCGAGCCTTCTTGAGCGGCATCCGAGCCAGACGCGTCTTCATCCAACCCGGAGGTTCGCCCTTCATTCTGCAGCACCTCTTGTGTCTCAGTCGAGCCTTCTTGAGCTGCTTCAGAAGACTTTTGAGACATCTCAAAAGTGGAAATCTCATCTCGATCCTGCAGCACCTCTTGTGCCTCGGCCGAGCCTTCTTGAGCAGCATCCGGAGCAGACGCTCTATCCAATCCGGAGATTCGTCCCTCGCCTTGCAGCGGCTCGTGGGTGCCCTCTCGTTCCAATCCTGAGCTCTGGTTTTGGCCCGGCGGCTGCTCTTGTACCCGGGCCTGTGCCGAACCTTGGTCGTACTCCAGGCTCGGCAGCCAATCAAAGACGGGCAGAGGGAGGTCCAGAGAGGGGTGGGGTAGAAGGCAGGAGAGGAAGGCTTGTCGCACGTGGGCAAGGAGGGAGAATCCATGGGGGCGGGCGAGGGAGCAATCGGTCATCGCGAAGGGGACCAGACCGTCTGGGGCGGGCAAGAAGAGGAGGTTGGTGCGCCCATAGCCCTGAGAAAGAGAGAAAAGGGGGAGAAGGGTGGAGGGGAAAGGAGGGGGGAAGCAACGGGAGCAAAGGGGAGGGCGGAATGGAGGAGTCAGAAACCAGCAGGCAGGAGGCAGCAGGCAGCAGGCAGCAGGCAGGAGAGGAAGGCGTGGCGCACGTAGGCAAGGAGGGAGAATCCATGGGGGCGGGCGAGGGAGCAATCGGTCATGGCGACTGGGACTAGGCCGTCAGGGGCGGGCAAGAAGAGCAGATTGGTGCGCCCATAGCCCTGGGGGGTGGTGGAGGGGAGTGAACACGAAGGGGAGGGGAGCAACGGGAGCACAGGGGAGCGTGGAATGGAGTCAGGAGTAGAAAAACAGGAGGCAGCAGGCAGCAGGCAGCAGGCAGCAGGCAGCAGCCAGGAGAGGAAGGCTTGGCGCACGTGGGCAAGGAGGGAGAATCCATGGGGGCGGGCGAGGGAGCAATCGGTCATGGCGACTGGGACTAGGCCGTCAGGGGCGGGCAAGAAGAGCAGATTGGTGCGCCCGTAGCCCTGGGGGGTGGTGGAGGGGAGTGGACACGAAGGGGAGGGGAGCAACAGGAGCACAGGGGAGCGTGGAATGGAGTCAGGAGTAGAAAAACAGGAGGCAGCAGGCAGCAGGCAGCAGGCAGCAGGCAGCAGGCAGCAGGCAGCAGGCAGCAGGCAGCAGGCAGCAGGCAGCAGGCAGCAGGCAGCAGGCAGCAGGCAGCAGGCAGCAGGCCGCAGGCCGCAGGCCGCAGGCCGCAGGCCGCAGGCAGCAGGCAGCAGGCAGCAGGCAGCAGGCAGCAGGCAGCAGGCAGCAGGCAGCAGGCAGCAGGCAGCAGGCAGCAGGCAGCAGGCAGCAGGCCACAGGCAGCAGGCAGCAGGCAGCAGGCAGCAGGCAGCAGGCAGCAGGCAGCGGGCAGCAGGCCGCAGGCAGCAGGCAGCAGGCAGCAGGCAGCAGGCAGCAGGCAGCAGGCAGCAGGCAGCAGGCAGCAGGCCGCAGGCAGCAGGCAGCAGGCAGCAGGCAGCAGGCAGCAGGCAGCAGGCAGCAGGCAGCAGGCAGCAGGCAGCAGGCAGCAGGCAGCAGGCAGCAGGCCGCAGGCAGCAGGCAGGAGAGGAAGGCGTGGCGCAGGTGGGCAAGGAGAGAGAAAGCGTGGGGGCGGGCGAGGGAGCAATCGGTCATGGCGACTGGGACTAGGCCGTCAGGGGCCGGGGAGAAGAACAGATTGGTGCGCCCGTAGCCCTGAGGAGAGGGGGGAAGTGGGGGGAAAGGGTGGAGGGGAAAGGAGGGGAGCAAAGGGAGCAAAGAGGGTGGAATGGAGGGCAGGGGTCAAGAGCCAGAAGGCAGGAGAGGAAGGCTTGGTGCACGTGGGCAAGGAGGGAGAATCCGTGGGGGCGGGTGAGGGAGAAGTGGGTCATGGCAAAGGGGACTAGGCCGTCAAGGGAAGGGGAGAAGAGCAGATTGGTGCGCCCGTAGCCCTGGGGGAAGGGGGAGGGGAGGAATGGAGGAGGGAGGGGAAAGGGGGGAGCAAAGGGAGCATAGGGGAGGGTGGAATGGAGTAAAAAAATAGGCGGCAGGCAGGAGAGGAAGGCTTGGCGCACGTGGGCAAGGAAGGCGAAGGCGTGAGGGTGGACGAGGGAACAATCAGTCATGGCGAACGGGACCAGGCCGTCAGGGGCGGGAGAGAGGAGCAGATTGGTGCGCCCATAGCCCTGAAGGTTGGGGAAAGGGGGCGGGAGAGAGGTGGGAAGGGGGGAAGCGAGAAAAGCATTTGGGAGAGGGAGCAGTGGGTCATGGCGAAGGGCACCAGGCCGTCAGGGGCGCGGGGGAAGAGTAGATTGGTGTGCCCGTAGCCCTGAGGGCGGTTGGGGGGTGGCATTTAGCTTAGGGAGCAGTGGGTCAAGGCGAAGGGGACTAGTCCGTCAGGGGCGAGCGAGAAGAGCAGATTGGTGCGCCCATTGCCCTAGGGGAATTGGAAAAGGGGATGGTGTGGGGCGGGAAGAGGGAAGAAGAAGAAAGTGAGCGAGGGAGAAATCAGTCATGGCGAAGGGCACCACCAGGCTGTCAGTGTTTTGAGACGTCTCAAAACACGGTCATGGCGAAGGGGGGGAAGAGAGGGAAGCATGTGGAAGAGGGAGCTGTGGTCAGTCATGGCGAAGGGCACTAAGCTGTCAGATGCGGGGGAGAGGAGCAGATTGGTCTGCCTGTAGCTCTGAGATGGGGGAGGGAGGTCAGAGGGGGAAGGATGGAAGGGGGGGTAGAGAGGGAAGCATGTGGAAGAGGGAGCAGTGGTCAAGCCGAAGGGCACTAAGCTGTCAGATGCGGAGGAGAGGAGCAGATTGGTGCGCCCGTAGCCCTGAGATAGGAAGTGAGGAGGGAGGGTGATTGGGGAGGAATTCTCACGTGGGAATCACGTTTGAGAATTCTCACAAGCATGTGGGTGACAAAGCAGTGGGTCAAGGCGAAGGGTACCAGGCCGTCAGATGAGGGGGAGAAGAGCAGGTTGGTGCGCCCGTAGCCCTAAGAGAGAGGGAAAGAGAAGGGGGGGTGGGACGGAGGGTGGAAGGTAGAAGGAAGAGGAGCAAGCATGTGGGAGAGGGAGCAGTGGGTCAAGGCGAAGGGCACTAGGCGTTTTTGAGTCGTCTCAAAATCACCCTCTCTACACGTAGCAGTGGGTCAAGGCGAAGGGCACTAGGCCGTCAGAGCCAGAAAGCGCAGAGAAGATTGGAAGGGGAGTAGAAACAAGGGAGCAGGCAGTAGGCAGGAGGCAGGGAGGCAGAAGGGGAAGGCGGGAAACACTGGGGTGGATGAGAAGAGCAGGAGGGTATCTGAGGGGGATGTGTCATGGTGAAGAGCAGGAGGGTATCTGAGGGGGATGTGTCATGGTGAAGAGCAGTGGCCCTGGGAGGGTAAAAATGGGGGAGAAAACCGACAGAAAAAGTAAAACGTGGGGGAGAAGAACGCAGAGGCAAGCTTTGAAGCCGTGCTCGTTCCGTTCGTACCTTCCTGTTGACTTCGTAACTCATGTAACTTCCTAGGGAAGATACACGCGGCTCATACACCCCAAGTTATGTGCTATTTCTGAGAGCCATCCTAACATCGCACAGGCCTGAGCCTGAGAGGCAAGGCAACCAACCATTGGTGCGTACCAGCGAGTATCTGCTGACGTGGCATGGCAGCTCCAGAATCACTGCAGACAGCAAGGTTCCGAGAACCTTCCTCTGCTTCCCATGATCCACGAGAACCGCGCCGTCCGACCGCCGACCAATCCCCGCGTAGAACACCAGCTGCGCCTGCCCGTCCTTCGCGCCGGCACTCCTCTTCCCGCCGCCGCTTTTCACGCCGCTCCCGTCGCCGTCGCCGCGACCTCCACCGCGGCCGTCGCCGTCCTCGCGGGCGACGCTGCTTCTGTCGCCCCAAACGTCGTCTGCGACGGTGCCTGCTCGGCGAAACACGGCTTCGTCGGTCGCAGCGGAGACGGACGATCGTCCGCAGGAGAGCGCGGAGAGCCGCGGAGGGGGAAGCCTCGCCGCAGCCGCAGCTACCGTCGCCTCCGCCGCTGCTGTCGCAGCAGTCGCGAATGTCGCTAATTTCGCCGATTCTCCACCACACGGCGTGTCTAAGACAGAGTGGCTGGTTGGCGGAAACCGAGATTCTCGGCACCCGTTGACGGAAAACGTCGAAGCGAACGACAGCACGGTAGCTCTCTGCGGCACCACTGACTGCTGCACCTTCGCGTTGCTCCTGCGACTCATGCTGAAACTTTGGGATGCCGCGCAATTTTGTGCGATTCTATGCGAACCTATGCGACCCTAGGCGACGCTGGCAAACCCTCGGTACCAACACCGTGGCACTACAACTGATAGGCTTGGACGGAATTGGAGTCACTTCTAAGAAATCTCAAACCGACAGGCTTCGACGAAATTCGCGACGTGGGTGCGGGAGGAACAGAAGAGGGGCCATAAATATGAATGCTACTAACTATTATGTGTGCAGCGAAGGGTAACCATAAGTCGTTCATAATGAGAGTCTCGTGGCAGAGTATAGTGATCCACCCCTCACATTCATGAATCTATGCCCCGCATTCCGCGCTAAACCACGCTTCTGCATCACCCAGAAGTCCTTCACACTGGCAGTGTCTTTACTCAACCACACAAAAGAATGGCTGGAGAAGGGAGGGAGCCATAAATGAATGGGGAACTCGGGATTTGTTTCGATTTGAGTCGCTTTGGCGGGGGTACTACTAGCGACCTTGTGCTTTACAGGGAACTATGGTGCTAGTTGCGGGCACTTTCCGCCCCTCTGACCCTCAGACAGGTAAGTTATGGCAACAGCACAGAACTCAGTCCCACATTCACCCAGGTGTCACAAATTCGAGAAAAATAGAGAACGCAGGGCAGAAAAATACGGGACTCATTTTCGGGAGGGATCAACCCTAAATACGGGAACCCACATTTTTTTTAGGGTTCATGCCTCCCCGAGACGCATCCCTTTCCGATCGGGTCTTAGTTTTTTTTCGGTCAGGTTTTTCCAGTGGCTTGCGAATTTGTGACACGTGGGTGTATGTGGAGCCGATTTCTGTGCTGTTGCAATAACTTTGGGCAATTTTCATGTGCAATCTCTATGGTACAGAAAATATGTTCAGGTGGGAGCCCGGCGCATCTTTCAAAGTTTCTGTTGCGCACTGTACACACATGCCGGAACAGAGCCTTGAAAAGATGCGCCACTCAAATCTGTACTCGCTGAGTGAAATTAATGCGCTCACACACGCTTCGTTTACCCACGCTACTGGGAACTGCTAAGACATGCCCCAAAAAACAAACTAAAAGCTACAGTGACGATGGACACATTTTTGGAAGATCACCCTAAACACGGGAACCTCCTGGTGTTTAGGGTTGATGCCTCCCCAATGCTTTCGTAAAAATAAATAAAACCCAATTGGGACGGAATTGAATCAGGAAGCTCTGAGAATAATGAGAGGAATGAATGAACTAGGAAGCAGTTGGGTACAAGTAGGAAACCTAAAAGTGTTGTACCCTATAAGGACACTACAACCTAAACAGACTATAGCATATATGGGCTTGACACACCCCCATAGGCAAAGTGGGGGAGAACAAGGGGTCACAAGACCAGTCAAGAAGGCAAAGCAAGCTCAGGGTGGATCACAAAGTCACCACGCAGTCTGAGCACAAGCAAAGGGCCACAAGGCCAGTTTACATGCAGAGTTATATAAAGGAAAGCAAACAATACAATGAACACAACCTAGCAAGTGTAAACATGCAGGTATAAGTATATAGAGTACAGTACAAGCAGAGTCAAGAAGTCAACAAGTGAGGCACAGTAGGTACAAGGCCTAGAAGAGTACAGAAACGCTAATGATCACAAGGCTGAAGTGCCTTGGTGAAAACATCAGCAGTGTTGGCCTGTGAGGCCACGTAAGCAAGACGAAGCTGGCCACGCTGCTGCAACTCTCGAGCAAGGAAGTAGCGCAGAGCAATGTGCTTTGTTCTGTGCTCCAGTCTGTGCTCCTGACACAAGGCCAGCATGGCCTTGTTGTCGACGTACAGAACTGGAGGAGAACGAGGCGCCTCTCCCAAGTCGGTCAGCAGGTAGGTGAGCCAGCGGAGCTCCTGTGCAGCCATGGCCCCAGCGTAGATCTCAGCCTCACAACTGGAGCTGAGAACAGAAGAAGAGCGGGTAGACCGCCAAGAGACAGAACCGGAGCCAAGACTGAAGGTGTAACCCTGTGACGACCGCTGCGTAGCCAAGTCGTCAACCCAGGAGGCGTCAGCGTGACCAGTGAGGACAACTCGAGCCCGTCCTCCAAGCACGAGCCCCATGCCCGATGTACTGCACAAGTATCGCAACACCCTCTTCGCAGCATCCCAGTGCACCTTTCGGTGCCTGCCGGGAGCCACGTAGCGAGCCAGAAGGCTGTGAGGGTATGCGAGGTCAGGTCGTGTGCAAGTCATCAGGTACATGAGGCAGCCCACAAGCTCTGGATACGGGCCACTCGGTTCTACGGACTCGTCCGAAGGTGGAGCTGAGAGCGAGTGACCGGTAGGCAGAGGAGTGGACTGTGGCGAGGAGTACGTGAAGCCGAAGCGCTGAAGGACCTGCTGCACCATGTGTGACTGAGTCAAGGTAATGGTGCGCTGTGCTCTGTCCCGGGTGATCCGCAAGCCAAGATAGCTTGTCAGTTCACCCAGGTCTGTGCACGTGTGTCTCTTCTGCAGCTCGGACTTCACGTGGGCAAGTGCCTCAGTGTCAGCAGTAGCAAAGACGAGGTCGTCTACGTACACGAGAACGTAGAACGGCGGCAGAATAGTGTCAGTGCGTAAAAACAGAGAAGGGTCAGAAGTGGAAGGAGCAAAGCCAAGAGCAGCAAGAGTCGTCCTGAGAGTGTCGTGCCACTCACGGGGTGCCTGACGGAGACCGTAGACTGGCCGCAGGAGGCTTCACTGGGTACCAGCAGGAAACGACCCAGTGAAGCCTGGTGGGCGGCGCAGCCAGATCTCCTCGTGCAGGCTGCCCTGGAGGAAGGCTGTACTGAAGTCAAGTGAGTGGAGCTCGTAGTCACGCTGGGCGGCAACGTGCAGCAGTACCCGAAGAGTGGTCATCTTCGGGGTAGGGGAGAAGGTCTGGAAGAAGTCAACTCCCTGTCGCTGACTGAAACCACGTGCAACGTAACGCGCCTTGAAGGCAGGCGGAGAACCCGGCGGCCGCTTCACCCTGAAGATCCACATGCCACTCACGATGTTCGCCCCAGGCGGGGGAACCTCGTCGACGTAGGTGCCTATGGACTTCCAGGAAGCCATCTCGGCGTCCATGGCTGCCTGCCACTGAGAGGAGTAGGGACCCTCTATCGCCTCTGCGTAAGAGCGCGGGGTCGGGATGTCTAGTGCATCCGGGTCTCCCTCAGGGGCAATCAGCATGGACACGAGATGAGGTACAGAAGCGGCAAAGCACTCAAACTCCTCCTGTCTGTCCTCAAGAACGTCCGTGCTAAGAGCTCACGCACCCCCGACGGACGGAGGACAGACAGACGCAGACGCAGACTCAGCAACAAGACTAGTGGCGTAGTCTAGGCGACAGGCTGCAGCAAAGTCAACAAGCTCAGCAACAAGAGCAGACGCAGCAGAGGACTCAAACAAAGGGTCAGTGACAGCAGTGGCCAGAAAACGCGTGACAGCTGGACTAGCAGCACGTAGGGAGTCAGACGCAGGGTCCAGACCGGCAGGAAGAGAGGACGCAGGAGGAGACGGTAAAGGGACACGCTGCGGTGCAGTGGAAGGACGCAGAGTCATAGAGTGAGTGCCAGGGACAGGAGGAGGACGTGGACGCGAAACACGACTAGTGCGAACAGGTCAAACAGGCGACGCAGAACGAGACTCAGGCGACACAGGACGAGACTCAGGCTCACGACGCTCCGTAAGACCTCTAGTCGGTCCAGAGTAAGGAGAAGGACCAGGCAGCGGAGAGGCCGGCTGGAACTGCGACGGGGACTGGACAGGTGGTGGACTCAGGAAAGGAGGAGGAGGACCAGGAGAAGGCGGGGAGCCAAGAACCTGCTGAAGAAGCGGAACGTAGTACGGCCGCGGCCGCGCAGCACCTCTAGAAACAGCAGAGACAGAACCGGTACCCTCAGCCCCAGGGTCTCCAGTCCCAGTAGCACCTCCAGCAGCTCCAGCACCAGTAGCACCTCCAGCAGCTCCAGCACCAGCAGCACCTCCAGTAGCTCCAGCACCAGCAGCACCTCCAGTAGCTCCAGCACCAGCAGCACCTCCAGTAGCTCCAGCACCAGCAGCACCTCCAGTAGCGCCAGCACCAGCAGCACCTCCAGTAGCTCCAGCACCAGCAGCACCTCCAGCAGCTCCAGCACCAGCAGCACCTCCAGCAGCTCCAGCACCAGCAGCACCTCTAGCAGCTCCAGCACCAGCAGCACCTCCAGTAGCTCCAGCACCAGCAGCACCTCTAGCAGCTCCAGCACCAGTAGCACCTCCAGTAGCTCCAGCACCAGCAGTACCTCCAGCAGCTCCAGCACCAGTAGCACCTCCAGTAGCTCCAGCACCAGCAGCACCTCCAGCAGCTCCAGCACCAGCAGCACCTCCAGTAGCTCCAGCACCAGCAGCACCTCCA